CCCCCAACCACAGCCACACCCCCAAACATGGCCACCCTCCCAACCACAGCCACACCCCCAAACATGACCACACCCCCAACCACAGCCTACAGCTGCTGCCATGCTTACTGGCACCCACTGAGGATTTCACCCTTTTGTTGCTGCCATTTTCTTCATTTTACGGCTTTCCAGCCAATGGATTTAAATAAGTAAATGTCTGCCGTCTCAAAAATCCCCTCATTAGCCCAAATGTGAGGTTCATTAGCCTTCCTGTGGAAACCATGGTATTTAAAGCGACAGAGCAGGAGAAAGCAAGTCTGCTGTGTCCTGTCACAGGACCGCTTCATAGAGGAACTCACTGCACTGCTCCGGACGTACGGCAAGAACATGGTGGTGGATCTTACCCAAAGTGAGTCCCTCTGCTTTGGCCGGTACTGCATCAAAAATATGGTTTGGGATATGGCAATGATATTTCTTGATGATCTTGTCACTGGAGCAATTAGGGGTCTTGCTCAAGGGCCCAGCTATAAAATTACTGTACTGAGTCTTGGGTACTGGCAACCTTTCGATCACAGGCATTGCACCTAATCTGCTGAGCCACACACCACTCCCATGCATCAAAAAAAATTATAATAAAAAAAAAAGTATATATATATATATAATATATATATATATATACATACATACATATTGCCATATGTCTGCACAGTAATGATTGCATACTTTGATTCACTGTAATTAATGACCTTCACTGGCTTCCGAAGGGCAAGGTGACAGCACTGTGACTGGAAGCAGTGAAGAGGATCTAAGTGGAACCCGAGGGACATGGGTCCTCCCCGCTGAGGTAGGAGCTGCTGCTCCGTTCAGTCCATACGGCACCACACATGAGTCGCCCGACCCATACTGTGATCCGCATAATCCGTTCATGGTGTGCTATGGTTTACTTGATTCCCTTATTCCCACCAGAGGCCCTCCAGCACCTCTTCATCTAGCCGACTTCCCTACCCACAAGAGGAGCAGGATCTGGGCTCCAGGTAAACACATCGATAACCTGACACACGCCGTAAGGCACATGTTCCCCCTGTGCTGTGTGTTCTCTGCCAGTTAGCTGGTGTTGATCCAGTGCTCTGTCCCAAACGCAGGAGCTCTCCAGTGTCCCCTGGCAAGGTCAGCCTCCAGAACTGCGTACGATGGTAAATACAGCTGAAGTCACTGCAGTACAGGAGACCTTCTTATTGGTGTGGTTGAGAGATATCTGCAGATGTTCCTGAACAACTGATTTTGTTGGGCCTTCTGATTTATTTGCTTTTACTTGTCAGGGTACAACCAAGGATATTGTCCAGTAGTTTGGATAAACTTCAGAGCGGATCTTCACAGAAGGTTAGGCCAGTTTGTTTTTCTTTCGTTGTCTGTTGGATCTACACTTGTATTTCTTTTACATATGTAGCTGACACTTTAACTGTAGAATCAATCGGCTGATCACAGGATTTGAACCAGCAACCTTCCGGTACGGGCACAGAGTCCTAACCTACTGAGTCACACCTTCCTCACATGTTTTTACTAATGTGCTTTTTAAAGTGTTTTTTTTTTTAATCCCAGAGGAAACAAGTATCCGAATAGTTAAGCTTTGTGCCGAATCATCAAGACAACTTCATTGTATCTGTAAACACTGTTCTGCATGTCCAGTGCAATGGGATATTGGATTCTTTGGGAAGCAAAGTCTTCTGATGAATGAATGAGATGGAAAATGTCTCATAAAAGTTCAGTGATGTTTACAGTGGTTATGGGTGACGTTCCATCCTGGTGTTCATGTTTGTTTAGTAGCATGTATGGGTTCATTGTTTTACAGTAACAGAACATGAAGAGAGAGATAACAGCATCAGGGAACAGTGTCTGCATCATGGTGGTGCTTCCAGCATCTCAAAAATATTTGCTTTCCTGTGGTGAAAATAGTGTGATGCACACAATGGATCCGGTTAGATCCGGTTAGATACAGATTTTGGCTTGTCACATCCCCCTGCCGTCTCGTCATGTTGAGTTCTGGGGGCAGCCTAATGAATTCTCACAGAGGTCCATAATAACTGAAACGGGCTGATTTAACCTTTAGGTTCTTCCTTTGTTATTGACAGTCCCCAGCTACCTTCTATTAATGTGGGGGGGGGGGGTGCAAATCTAAATGTCTGACTGTGTAGATGCATGCGCCTCTTGTGTCTTATCCCTGTGTCCCACTAATCACGCCCTCTCTCTGTCCCTGACCCCTGCTTGACCCCTGACCCCCACAGCACATGGCAGGAGAGCCAATACAGCCGGTCCTCTCAACGGAGGTACTGATTTATGTCACAGCATGCTGACCAATAACAAACAAAGCTGAATAGTGTCTTCACTGCTCCAGCTGTCATAAATGCCTGCAAAGTTACTCCAATTCATTTTGCTATTTTATCATCCTGTTTTATTAAGTGTTATTAAGTGTTTATTTTAATTCCTTTCCTATTAAATGTTTTTTGCTACTTTGACAGACCGGCTGTCACCATGTCCGTTGCTGTCTTTTTTCACAGAGTCACCAGGCAGACGGCCACAAGTGTCAGACCCTCCCTGGGCGACTGTGTCCACCTGAGTACCCCGGAGGGGGGGTGGAGAGCCTCTCCTCAGCCCCGAGCACAAAGGAGCGGAACATGAGCCGTGAGTTAGCCTCCTACACACATTTTATTCTGTAAAATGATCAAACACATGCATGTGTAGTCTGTTGCATTTTTGCTCTACAGGTAAGAAATTGGGCAACATAACCTCTGACCTCGCATCCGTGACCTCTGGACTTGACTCGGGGTGGCAGTCTCCCGTGGATTACTCCTCCAGCTTGAAGCGGCTTTGGGGAAGGTGACTGCGCAGAGCAGGCCTGCCGCCAGCACGGAGAGGCCTGCCTCACCTAACCTGCCTGCTGGTTTTCCTCCAGGATCCGTAGGACACAGTCCGGCACTCTGCCCAGTGAGGACCCAGAGCCGGCCCCCTTTCGCAGGGGGGGGCTGCGTGCCACAGCCGGCCCGAGGCTGCTTGGCAGCAGCGTCACTCTCAATTCCGACCAGTATGTCCCCCTCCTGCCCCCCTGCGATGGTCCAGTCCATGTGGGATCTGCACCAGGTGTTTTGAGTTCTCACCTTTCCCGCAACTGCCAGGGTCAAGGATGCGCCCTTCGCTCAGTGGAGTCCGGAGCAGGTGTCGAAATGGTTGGACGACGTGGGTCTGGGCCAGTACCGAACCATGGCCAGTCACTGGGTCAAGAGTGGCCAAACACTCCTTTCTGCTACCCCCCATGACCTGGAGAAGGTGTGACACCGAGAGCGAGTCTGTGTTTCAGCCTCGAGTGTGGGGGCGTTAATAATAGTGCATGACGCGATGCATGTGTGCAGAGTCTGTGTGTCCTATTCACTATGTGACAATGTGTGTTGGATATTTGAGTGAATATGTACACTTGCCCATCTGTTCGAGTCACTCTGTACGTCTGAGTGAGTGAGTGATGTCAACAAGTGAATGAGCGTGTTGCGTCTGTTGTAGGAGATGGGTCTCAAACATCCCCTACACAGGAAAAAGCTGCAGCTGGCCCTCCTGTCCCTCAGCAACCCGGCGGCCGGGAGGTCATCAGCGCTGGACCACACATGGGTAACACGTATGTATCACTTGCTCTTAAAGCCTCATTAGGCATCCATCAGCAATATTCCCAGGAGGGTAGTGATCGAGACCCCCTGCTGACTGACCCTCATAGGCTGGCTGGATGACATTGGCTTACCGCAGTACAAGGACCAGTTTAGCGAGGCGAAAGTGGACGGCAGGATGCTGCAGTACTTAACTGTGGTAAGACGCACCTGGATCGCTCGTGCCTGCATCGCCTAGAATTTTATCCCCCACCTTGTTACCATAGAAACATGACTCCTGATCACTGTAATCCCAGAATGACCTGCTGTTCCTGAAAGTCGCCAGTCAGCTGCACCACCACAGCATTCGATGGGCCATCCGCGTGCTGCACGCCAACACGTTCGACCCCCACTGCCTGAAGCGTCGTCCCAGCGACGAGGTCCGTGGAGAGACAGCCATACCCGTGACTCACCGGGGTGCCTTTGTGTGTGCCTGTGCGACTCACCTGTGTGTCGGCGTCTCTCCTGTGCAGACACAGACTCATCCATCAGAGGTGGTGCAGTGGTCCAACCACCGCGTGATGGAGTGGCTGCGAACAGTGGACCTGGCAGAGTATGCACCCAACCTGCGGGGCAGTGGAGTACATGGAGGCCTCATTGTGAGTAACCTGTTCTGTAAACAGTCAGGAAAATGCTGGTTATCAAATTCATTGAGATGTAATGAGCCGCAGTGAGGATGTAGCCGCCCGGTTCTCACTGTGTCACGCCCAGACTGTAACGCCACCTGGGTCTCGCTGGGTCACGCCATGGCTGTAACACTGCCCAGGTCTCACCGGGTCACGCCCAGACTGTAACGCCACCTGGGTCTCGCTGGGTCACGCCATGGCTGTAACACTGCCCAGGTCTCACCGGGTCACGCCCAGGCTCTAACGCTACTTGGATCTCACTGGGTGACACCCCAACTGTAATGCTGCCCCAGTCTCGCCGGGACTCACCCAGTCTGTAACGCTGCCCGTGTCCTGCTGTGTCCCCAGGTCTTGGAGCCGCAGTTTAATTCCGACACGCTCGCAGCACTGCTTAACATTCCCCCCCAGAAGACCCTGCTGCGGCGCCACCTGGCCACCAGCTTCGCCAGCCTCGTGGGACCCCACGCCCAGCGCCAGAAACAGGACTTTCTGCAGGGCCCTGGCCACACACCCCTCACTGCCACCACCAAAGTGCGGGTAGGAGCCTCCATCCTGGGGCATGCTGGGAGAGATTCCGTCTCCCTCTAAGGAAAGAACAGTCTGTAAGTAGCTGCAAAGCATGCTGGGACTGGCGAATCTTCACACATGGCTCCAGAGCACGTAGATGTCGCCCTTCACGCTGAGAGAAGTGAATGGCTTCTGGGAAACTGGGAATGAGAAAGACCACAGCTGCATGTGCAACCTGTTGTTTTTGAGGCAGTGTATAGGTGGTGGTGATTAACGAGCAGACTGGGATTAATTTAGAAATGATAATAGATCACATGTAGATGATTACCAGTTTTTCTGTTGTACCACTGTGCATAGTATTGTTTATCTGCATATCCAGATATCTGTACATCTGTATATATTGCATATCCAGCTGTAAAAATAAGTGCGAAGTGTAAACACTTTAAAGCTGCAATGCTACTACAAAATAAAATATTAAGAATTAACAGTGAATGGATGGTAATGATGTCGATTTCAGCCCAAGAAGCTTGGCTTCCCCACCTTTGGAAACCTGGGCAAGAAGAAGTTTGATGAGGGTATTCACTACATTTGCCCCCCGGATTTGCCTCCACTTGCCCTGAATGGGGCTCCTGGAGGCCAGAGCCCTCTGATGGACAGGGGGGCAGGGAGGCCAGAGCAGGTGGGCTGTGAGAGAAGAGCCAGTAGCCCCAGTGTCTCTAATGCTCCTACCACAGCTGTACCAGTAACCTCAGTGTCTCTAATGGTCCTACCACAGCTGTACCAGTAACCCCAGTGTCTCTAATGCCCCTACCACAGCTGTACCAGTAACCTCAGTGTCTCTAATGGTCCTACCACAGCTGTACCAGTAACCCCAGTGTCTCTAATGCTCCTACCACAGCTGTACCAGTAACCTCAGTGTCTTTAATGGTCCTACCACAGCTGTACCAGTAACCCCAGTGTCTCTAATGGTCCTACCACAGCTGTACCAGTAACCCCAGTGTCTTTAATGGTCCTACCACAGCTGTACCAGTAACCCCAGTGTCTCTAATGGTCCTACCACAGCTGTACCAGTAACCCCAGTGTCTC